TCCTGCCACTCCTGCTGCTTGTGGGGTGCTGCTGCTTCTCAGCCGGTTCTGTTTTGCTTTCAGGTCCTAATGTGCTGGCTGGATGCTGTTCAGAGGAGGGTCGGGGGGGCTGGAAGGAGATGAGGATCCTGGTTCTGTCACGGACTCCTTAGGCCTCTGTGGCTTCCTTTCCCTGCCTGGACTCTGGGGAAATCCCCTTTCAGCCCAAGGCCGGCACCGCTCTGTCCGCTCAGCTGCAGGAGGGCGGCGTGCGTGCCAAGGACAAGCTGTTTCTTCCCTGCAAGAGCAGGGGGAGGGGCACGAGCACAGCTGGCATCCCTGGGAGAGCCCAGAGGCTGAGCTGGGGATGACCTGACCAGTCCCTTCCTCTGCTCGCAGCCATTCTAGAGACACAGGCAGCGTGTGCAGCACCGCTCAGATGCAGGGCTAGGCTGGCAGCTGGAGTAGGGATGTGAACATGGAGAGAGCTACATGATTAACCGATAAGCCTGGGCCTTCCACTCCATGCATTTCCCCCTCTGGATCAGAGGCAGCAAAAGGAGGGGAGGCAAGAGCTGGTGCCCGTGAGAAGCCGGCTTTTAAGAACTGGATACACCTGCCCCACCGCAATGCTCCCCACGCACATCGGCTCCCACCTCCCCCCCTCACCCTCCGCACAGTGCAGGCATCCCTAGGGACTCGCTCATTGGCCAGACGGCTTTGGCCGCCAAGGGAGCACGTCACTGAATGTCCTCGGCCTTGGCTGCGTGCCCCAAGCCTGGTCAGAGCACTCTGGCTCCCACCCCGCTCAACTCAGCTGGGTTCCTTCGAGCGCTGCTAGAAAGGTTACATGGGATCAGGGCAGTAAATCATGAGAAATCCTTTTGCCAGGTCCTAATGCAAAGTCTGGCAGGCCACTCTGGCTTCCCGGCTTCTTCGGAGGCTGCTGACGTCTGCTGTCAAACACGGGACATACACGTGCGTGATTTTCGTCCTGCTTGTGTCACCCTTGTTCTTTACTCCAAAGGGTGGGACAGGGGAGTTTCCCTACGGCTGCCCCGCCCACAGCACCCATCCCCCCCAGGGTCCCAAAGCTTTTACCAACAGAAATCAGACCCCAGGATCCTCCGTACGGAGACGGAAAGGGCCTTGCCTCACAGTGAGCTAAGCGGGACTGGAACCCAGGGGTTCGGGCTGCTGACTGCCCACTCAAACAACAGACAACGCTGTCTCTCTTTAAACAGTCACTCTGCACTCTGGCTGCTTCTCCTCGCCTAGGCAGAGTATATCTCAAGACACACCCCCAGATGCACCCCCCAGCCCACCCCTGCCACAGAAAGGGTGAGAGTGCCTCAGGTCACTCAGCAACATAGGCAAGGCAAATTGCCCCTGGACTCCCCTCCCACCTGGCAGGTAGGGCTGGGTCGAAAAGCACTGGGGCAGCTAGGGCCGCACTGCTGACTGCAGGGCAGTGCTGTGGGACAGAAGAGCAGGGAGCCCCCAATCCCTGCCTCTCTCCGGGGCAGAGAGAACTGGACCCTGACATGCAAGAGGCTGGAGACGCGCCTTCCTTTGGAACATCAGCGCTTTCCAGAGTCGGGCTCCAGGGTGGCACAGAGGATGGGGCGGACAGGAAGCAAGGACAGGAAGCAGCTGAACCCCCAAGGCCCTGTCATGTAGCCACCACAGAGACTCCCCAGGGAGTTCAGAGGGAGCTGGGCTTGCACAGTGACCGTGGGATCAGGCCCTCAGGGAGCAGCCGGCCTGGGAGCCGAAGCCCTTGGAGAGCTGCAGGACAAACAGCAGAGTAGGAGGCAGATGGAGCCCACCACACTGTTATCCTGTGACCGGGGTGTTCAGGCATGCACAGGTCTGCCCTGCTAGCCAGGGTCCTGGGGATAACACCACATCCCCACGGTTACCTGGAGATAGGTCTTGTACTCAATGAGCTTCTCTGTGCCACGGTGCAGCAGGCCGATGTGGGGGTCGCACTTCTTCACAGTCTCGCCGCTCAGCTCCATGACCAGCCGCAGGACGCCATGAGCAGCTGGGTGCTGGGGCCCGAAGTTCAACGTCAGGTTGGAGAGGGACTTCTCAGGTATCGGGTCTTTGTCTGCTCAGGCACGGGGAGAGTAAGAGAGGCCGTGAGATGGCAGGGCATACCTCCGGGCAGGGGAGAGCGCTCCAGGGGATCCATGGCCTTCCTGCCCCATCGTGCTAGAAGGGCTGAGCAGGAAGAGAGCAAAAATCCCCCTACACATACTTCCCTTGCAAACCTGAGGAGTGGAGCCCTAGGATGAGTGGTTCAGTCTGGTAAACACTGGGCTTGATTTGGGAGTGGCATGTCCAGCGGGCCACCCCACGTCTGCCGCTCTCAGTACTCCCTGCTCACCTCACATCCCTCAAGGCTTTCTTGGCTCTGGGGACAACCTGAGGAAGTGCCCCCCACTGGCCTACACATACTTCCCTTGCAAACCTGAGGAGTGGAGCCCTAGGATGAGTGGTTCAGTCTGGTAAACACTGGGCTTGATTTGGGAGTGGCATGTCCAGCGGGCCACCCCACGTCTGCCGCTCTCAGTACTCCCTGCTCACCTCACATCCCTCAAGGCTTTCTTGGCTCTGGGGACAACCTGAGGAAGTGCCCCCCACTGGTCGCTATGCCCAGCCCAGGCTAACGGGCAGCAAGCACCCCACGAGTCCAGAGGCCGGGAGCTTCTGGCTGTGGCCAGCAGGAGTGAAGGGCACAACCTGGCTTCCCTCCGGCTCCCAGCACAGAAGCTCAGCGCTTGCCTCTGAGAAGCCACACGGGAGGAAGCCTCTTCTGGGCCAAACTGTCCCAAACTTGAATTCTGCTCAACGGGGATAGAAGGAAAATCTTGCAAATGTCTCATATAAAACAGACCACGTCTCCCTCAATGGGGCTGGAGCTGCTGCAATGGGAGAATCCCCAAAGCAAGCAGCCATAGTCCATCCCAAATGCCCAAAAGCACCACCCCTAGCAGGACTCCACTTCCAAATGCATGTGCAGCCCACGGGCTGGCCTGTGGTCTGCCAGCCGCCCCCAGGCCCTGCAGAGCGCCAAGGGGACCTTCCCAATCCAGACTGAGTCACTGCCCCTTTGCACATCGGTTAAGAGGAGTCTCTTTAGCTCCGGTTTCTCTCGGCCACTTGCAGAGCCACCCGCACTGTCCCTAGGGGACAAAACTCCAGGGGAAATCATGATAGTTCAAGTAACGGGGCTCAGCAAAGTGCAAATGGCGCTGCTGCAGCATTCACACATCACAGAATGGCCCCAGCTCGCCTGCAGAGCCCTGGCAATGGTGACTCAGTGTAGAGGAGCCAAGACAGCTCTGCCTTGACAATGAAGTCTGCCTTGACCACAGTGCGGATCTCTAACAAGCAAAACCCAGGCCCGTCTCAAGTGTGGTGCACATACGCAGGCCAGGCAGGAATGTTTTGCATAACAATGCAGATAAGCATGGCACAGCGAAATCACACCAAAAACACGACAAGCAACCTTGTACTGGTACTTCTGTTTCTGATAAGCAAAAATTACAGCCAGCCATAAAACTGTTAACTATACATGTCGTTTCTGCAACATCCTGAGTAGCAGGATGTACCCCAAATAGAGGCACTGTAGGTATCGTACACAATGCGTAACCAATTGGCTAATATTATTAGAATGACCAAGTCTCGCTTTGCTATAAAATGGGCTTAGTAAGAAGAATCAATGGGAAGGAGGGCACAGGATTGACCCACAGGTCCTGCTGGCTGTAAATAGAAGAAAATACA